GAACTCTTAGAGGTTCAAGTGATTCTCCCACTTCAGCCTTCAAAAGTATTGGGATTACAGGTGTGAGCCATCATGCCCAGTCCTGTTTTTAAATTTAATAATTAGAATCATAATGTTTTGCTTATATACCCTCTTTGTCCTCAGCCTTAGATTTGTGAAATCCAACGTATTTCAGTGAGTATCTGCAGTTCTTTCATTCTCATCTTAGTATGGTACTATAGATTAAGAATACACCACAATTCTTACATTCTCCTGTTCATGCTATTTCTGTTCTTTATTGTTTGACCTGTTTTCAACAATGCTACCATGGGCATTCTTGTACACACACACATTTTTGTCAGGTATATGCCTGAGAGTGACACTCACTGGCTTACAGAGTACACTCATGTTCAGCTTCAGTTGGTAATGCCAAACCATTTTTCTAAGTGGTTATACTAATTTACATTCCTATCCTCAGTCTCTGACAGCTTCTGTAGCTCTAGATTCTCACAAACAGTGTGATAAGCCTTTTAAGGTACAGACATTCTGGGGGTTGTGGAGTGGTGCTTCATTAGTCCAACAGGACAGTAGTGTTCTGCTAAACACTGTTTGGGAAATAATGGTCCAGGAAATAAGAAAACTGGGTCAGAATCTGGGAATCTTTTGGTAGATCTATAGATGTTATGAAAAGTATTATTTGATCATAAAGCTTATAAAATCAAATAGAAACCAGCATTAGAGCTCCTACCCACAAATTCTCTGAAGACCTTGAGGAATCAGAAGCTGTAGAGATGCACAGAGCAACCCATGAGTCCCAACTGGAGGTTATTAGCTCTCTTCTACTGCGAATTTCTGTGATTTATGCATAATATGTTTACACATACGGTCAGATACCACTAAGATTCCAGAAACCTAATGTTTGTAATCAATGACTATTTCACCTTAGCCCACTCAGGATCCACTCACTGAAGACTTGCAAACTTCAAAGTCACTTGCAAAGAAAAAAGTAGGAAAGTCACAATGAAGTTAGAATCATAGCAAATGATATCACACTCTGGATCACTCTTCCTTTATATAATTTTCTATTTTAAATGACAAGATAAAATTGGTTTCTTCAGCAACAAAGAGTAAAAGTCTCTTTGCTGGCATTTATTTATTTTTATTTTTTTCTATGAGGAATATTGCCACAATAATTATCATTTGCTTTCCTTTGTTCACACCAATTCTCATAAAATGTGGTCTAGTATCAACTAAGAACAAAAGTTTCTCAGAAGACACCATAAGAAAACTCTTGGAGTATCTGGATACCCAAAACTGAGTATCAGAATGAATATTCTACTAAATAGTTTTAGTAATGGTAAAATGAATATGGAGCAGTAGGGACTGGCAGAGTTAATCAACATTTAATTGAGAGGCGATGAGCAGGGTTAATTTGTCAGTGACCAGAGAAGAACAAGTTAAAAGTCCCTAGAAAAATAGAAATCTTTCATGACAGAAAACTTACACAATGAAACAAGAAAATGTCATAAATTTACATTAAACGTGTGAGGATCAATGGTCTTAATTAGTGGAAGCTGATTTCCCTTGTGTTCTTTCAGCATCTGACAAATGCTTTTATCACAAGAGTGATCTTATCCTATTACAACTGCTTGTGTGTTGGAATGAGATGTGAGGTACTGTATTAGTCCATTTTCATATTGCTATGAAGAAATACCTGAGACTGGGTAATGCATAAAGAAAAAAGATGTTTAATGGACTCACTGTTCCACATAGATGGGGAGGCCTCACACTCATGGTGGAAAGGGAAGGAAGAGTAAAGGTGTATCTTACATGGTGGCATGCAAGAGAACGTGTGCAGGGGACACGTTCCTCTTTATAAAATCATCAGATGTTGTGAGACTTATTCATTTTCACAAGAACAGCATGGGCAAACCCACCCCCAAGATTCAATTACCTCCTACCAAGTGCTCCCCATGACATGTGGGGATTATGGAAGCTACAATTTAAGATGAGATATGGGTGGAGACACAGCCAAACTGTATCAGGTACTAACTGATATGTTTTACTTCCCTCACATTTCATTGCTTCTTCATCTGTAAAGTGTATATAATAATACCTTACATGGGTGAAGGTTAAATGAACATATGTAAAGTGCTTAGAACAATGTCTGGCACATAGCATCAATAAATGTTAGTTTTGTTATTGTTACTAATATTATTAAATTTCTTCATCATTACCTGAGGCTCTTCCTCTACCCTCCCCAATTCTGGACAGATAATCAAGGCTATTACTGCCTAAGTGGAATTGTCATTGGAGACAGACAAAAGAATCATCAAATTCTTGTCCTTTTATTTAAATTCTTCTGTTAGGGGTCGAATTGTGCCTCCTTTCAAAAAGTTCTAATCCTGAGTAATTCACACATGCCCTTATTTGGAAATAGGGTCTTTACAGAGATAATCAAGTTGAAATTAGGTTATGAGGGTAGACCCTAATCCAAAGTGACTGGTGTCCTTATAAAGAGGGGACATTTTGACAGACAGACAGAGATGCACAGAGGGAGGACTACGTTAAGACAGAGGTGCAGGGCATGCACCATGTAAAGACAGAGACAGGGAAACTGGAGTTATGCTGCCACAAAGCAATGCACATCTGCGGCAACTCAAAGCTAAGAGAAACAAGAAAGTATCCTTCCCCTGCAGGTTTTGGAGGAAGCATTGTTGATACGACACCTTGATTCTGGCCTCCAAGCCCCCAGAACTGTGAGAAAATTTATTTCTACTAAGCCCCTCAGGATGGTAGTTTGTTACAGCAACCCTAGTAAATTGATACATTAGGTGTAAGACGAAAAGATTTGAGGGGGAAACAAGTGGCTTCAGCTTACCTTTGTTACAAAAAGACGAGATCCAAGCAAAACTCTTTTCAGGCTGAAAAGGAAGTTAATGCAGAAGGAAAGGGGTCTCTGATAAGGGCTCCCTATATAGTTTACCAACCCAGGATTAGTTAAAAAGGTGGAAAGATGAGCAGTTTCTGTCTATTTACACTATTCTAGTGTAACAGAGATTGGGCCTTGCTGAATGCGTTACATTCCATGGTTTACAAACAGCAGAACAGAGATGGCTGTGTGATGGGCCAGGGGCAGGAAGGAAGGCTTAAGTCAGCCAATTACAGCCCAGAGTGACCCTGGAAAATGCTGCATTCTCTTCTCTCCTCCCCAAGGACAGGAACAAAAGTTTCCTGAGAGGAAGAACTGACAAAGAGGGGATGCTGCCACGCAAAGCTGTATGGATGTACTCCCGGGACCCAGCAGGTCTGTGGGTACGTTAGTAGATACAAGGGGTAATGATGGTCATGGATCATGCAGATTTCCTCACCTCAGGGACCGGGATCATTCTCTGCTTTCTCTAGATATGTACACGTTCCTGAACTTTGATCAATCTCTATGAGGAGAGAGAGAAGAGGAAAATCATGTTTCGGTTGAACGCAAATCTGAAATCATTGGGAAAAGTCTCAAGTAATTTAGTTTACCTGTAATTGACTAGTTTTATTTTTCTGACATTAGGCAAAATGGGGGCCTTAATTAAAAATGAAGTATGTAATTAACATTTTTTAAACACAAGACTTGAAAATACGGTATCAGCTATATTTGTTTCTCTTCTTTATATGAGCTCCTTTATGGCAGGCACTGTGTGTGTGTGTCTTTTCAAGTCTAATATAATAGTTGGCATCATTTTTTTACATCCATAAAGTGGGTTTGTCAATATGAATGTATTTATTTAATTGACGATAGACTCTAATAAAATTGTAGTTGTTTGCTCTAAAGTAAATATGAAAGGTCAGAGGAAACAATAAAATTACATCTGGATTGAGAAATCTCTAAATAACTGATGAATTATTTTTATTTTGTTTGTATATTGAGTGCTTTGATATCCTAATAAATAATATATTTTCTTAAGTATTTTATTTTATTTATTTATTTTTGAGACAGTTCCCCCCCCCACCTTTTCTCTCTCTCTCTCTCTCTCTCTCTCTCTCTCTCTCTCTCTCTCTCTCTGTCACCCATACTGGAGTGCAGTGGCAGGATCTTGGCTGACTGCAACTTCTGCCTCCCAGGTTCAAGCAATTCTCATGCCTCAGCCTTCCAGGTACCTGAGATTACAGGCACGTGCCATTATGCCCGGCTAGTTTCTATATTTTGAATAGAGACAGGGTTTCACCATGTTGGCCAGGCTTGTCTTGAACTCCCGACCTCAGGTGACCCACCTGCCTCTGTCTCTCAAAGTGCTATGATTACAGGCATGAGCCAGGATGCCTAGCCTTTTAAAAAGTATTTTAAAGGCATAATAAATCATTGATTTGCATTATCTCATTTAACATGAATTTCCACTGTTCCTGGTGTCATACACATACACCAAAATAATCCGAACGTCTAAATTGGCTAGGTTAACTGATGTATAGAATATTTTTCTACATTTAAATATTTTCTGAAAATGTTTTACCAGAAAGTCACACAAAAAGACTATCAGTGAGTATGTGTTACACTGTTCTCTAAGGGGTCAAATTACTCACCTTTCAAAAGACCAGAGCAGGCCACAAGGGAGCTTATACAAAACTCTACACCTAAAAGATAATGTGATCTTAAAGCCTAATTTTCCAACAGTAATTTAAATATCTTTTAATTTTAGTAGTTTATGGATCTTGTAAAACAACAAAGTTATAAAATTTAGAAAAAAAATAGTGAGTTGCAAATAACTGAATATGCAAAAGTATCTCATACATATTTATATGTAATAGATAAGTTACTTTTTTTAGTGTGTTGGGAAATTTTAGCTCACATCACCTCTCTGCTCTCTCTGCTGTCATCTTGGGGCACTTTCCTGAGTACTAATGCCTCACACAGGTTTGCTTTCCTCCCTGTGATAGAGAATAATGGGAATGTTTTTTCCTTTGGTTCAATTTTGTGTGTGTTCGCCAGTAGATGGCGGTACCACTTTGAGTGCTATCAGCCTTTTCTTCTTTTTTTTTTTTTCCTCAAAGCTGTTTTCTGATATATGTTGGGTACCATAGAGTGAATCTCAGAACAGGAAGCGAAGGCATAAGCAGAGAGGATTCTGGAAAGGTCTCTTTGTTTTCTTGTCCACAGAGAAAGAAAGAAAAAAATTGTAATTAATNAAAAAAAAAGCTGAACAGCTGCAGAGGAAGACACGTTATATTCTAACCATCTTGGATGCTGGGCTTTGTTATGCTGTAATTCATAAGGCTCTATTTTACCAGGTAAGCTGACAAAACATTTCATTATCTACACCATGGAATCTAGCTACCAGGTCATTTTTCTTACTTTAAATCTTCATGCTGCTATTTTTAACCCAGTGTTGTTTAAATATAAATTGTAGGAACCAAAGGCAGCGTTTGATGTGTAAACTGCTCACTATTTCTTTATCTTTCAAAGAAAATAGAGCCTGTCTGGAAATGGTGATTTATGGTACATACGAGGCATCAATGGTCTTGCGTTTTTGTAGATGCTTTTGATTCATTGTATTCAGAAAAAAAATATTTTGATTATACTTAAAGCTAATCTAATGAGTTTCCTGGCTGAATGCCATCTATTTAAATGCCCAGTGTGTCCAGTATTTTTGAAACATAAATGTATAGTGAAATTGGAACTATAATTCTTGTGCTTTAGTCTTTTATTTAAAAGCTCTAGAGAAGCCATGCATATAGGGAGTGATAACAATATAGAGGTGTTTGGCTTTGTGAAGCACACTATTATTTTTCTGTAAAATCTGTTTTCATAGAGGGAAGAACACCAATACTAACCATTTAAAAGAGGTTGAACCTTGGAAAAATAAAATAATTTATATATGCTCCATAATATGCTACTTTTTATCCTTTAATACATTCATTTTATATTAAATGTTTATGTTTTAATTTATTGATTTAAAGGTTACTGTATCTGTTTGATTAATTATTCTATGAGCTTGATAGATTTCTGTTTATTTTTTTCTGTGCATATTTAACAACTGATTATTATTAACTACCAGGAAGAACCACTGGAGCCATAAAACAATAATATACTTTATCTATGACCCATATTTTCTGTAGTTGTATTTAGAATATTTTATATCATAGTCATAAATATTTCATTCAGTTAGCTACCACATAATTAGAATAAGAAATTATTGTCAGAAAATCTATAGGTATTAATTGAAAGATAAGTTTTAAAAATCAAACAACGTTTTAAAATATACAACAGGTAGTGTAATGTGGCTTATGAGGACAAAGATAAAGGCATAAGTGCTTGCAGGAATTTACATGGAAACATTTCATCACATTCACTACAAATACTGTGTGCCCTATATGAAATGAAGACCTCTGGTTTCAGCAGGGCGTCCAGCCAGTATTGGCTGAAAGCACTTCAAAAATAGAACTTGAGGCTTCCAAACTGTAATTTCTAATGATATGTTAAAAAATATTGACATCTCACTTAATATTTTACACTGAGTAGCAATAATAGTCCCCCTGAAAACATTTCAAAATAGTGGTTGCCTGAGAGGAGAGCCCTGGGTCTTGTCCGTTTCAGAAGAATTCCTACCATAGGATGTAAAGAAAACTGTTTCTTTGGACAGGGTTCCCAGAAATGGCTGTTAATTAACTTGAGTGTACTGTACACACCATGCTTCTCTACAGGTGACTAAATGTGAGTAACTTTATTCTGTGTAAGCACCAGAGCTGGTATTGATTGAACTGGTTTACATTTATGAATGAATGCTTAATTTTGGCCCCAAATGTTAGCGCTTTTCTTTTTCTTGGTATAGTTGCAACAGACTCTTAGTTACTCATCTATACATGTGGGCGCCATGTGAAAAGCAAATACACATACAATTCTTTACTTCACAAAATGCGCTTTTCAAAAAATTTGGAAATTGAACCTGTTTTGATTAAACAATATATCAAACAAGTTTGAATATCTTACTCTTTAAAAGAATGTGGTGGTGATTTCATTTGTAAAGTTGAGAAAAATGCTGTGATTTATTTGAGTACTGAAGATAAAAAGGTTGAACTCTGAGCTGTAAGTCTTGGGGTCTGGTTCAAGTTCTGCTACTAATGAGTTTTGTTGCCTCAGAAAAGGCACCAAGTATCACTGAAGAGCATTTTCCTTGCCTGTAAAGGGTGGGAATTAGAATCAAAGCTATATAAGATCACTTTGTTTTTAAAATTTTCTGATACTCATTTATTTGGATTTTTCTTCAGTTGGTTTCTCAGTTTAATTATGATACAACTTTGACTCTCACTGAGTTGTAAATTATGATTGACGTTGTGCTAAACATGAAAGCAGGAAAACAGAGAAATAGCGTGTTTCCTGGCCAGTTCCTTCTGTGGTGGAAACAAGTAGGGAGCAATATGGAGAAGTGGGTAAGAGCAAGAGCTTGGCAGGTTACATTTATCGCCACTGTTACTTGACAAATTATTTAAACTCTCTGAGCCTTTATTGCATCATCTATAAAGTGGGAATAATAATGCCTGTGTTACAGGATTGCGTAACTAAAATAATGTCTGTTCAGTGCTTGGTATAGATCCTGGAGCATGATTACACACCTCTTTCCTCTCTCCCCCGCCATCCTAACTCACATCAAAAGGAAAAGGACAAACATAAAGGCATAAATTTTCATCATTGTTGTTATTGTTGGTGCTGGTGATATCATATCTTCCACCACAACAGGAAGGATAGAATAAAACTGCCAAAAATTGTGTACCTGAAAAGTGAATAATTCTCATCCTGCCCTCACTGAAACAACAATATTTTTGTGTACCTGTAATAATATCAGTTAATATTAACATTCCAGGCAATTCCTGGAGAGTTTCTAGAACTCATAATACCTTCCAGAAGACAGTCATTTATGCCGGATATGTTATCATGGACTTCAAAACTTTCTTTTTCTTATGAAAATAGAGGCAAAGGGCCTTATTTCACATTTCCTTAAGAGGATATACCTGTTAGAGGAAAAGTCTCTGTAAAGATTCACAAAGGGAAGCTAGGTTTCACCAAAATCACATTTAAATGCCAAGTAATTTCTACTAAGACCACCAGATAACTGAACCTAAATCCCAGGAAAGTCTTGACTACTTGATCAACTCACAAACCGTCTACTGCTTCAATTTTATTAACAGTACAATAAGATGTGGAAAGGCAAATTGTGTTTGACGAATGGTTGATCTACTGCAAAATCCCTGCTTTTCTCCAAAGGTTGTTTCTAAGTGCAGCTTCGTGCTTCTGACAGCTGTGTGCTACTGGGGTCTTTGGGAGCTGGAACTGGGATGAACTTTCAGCACCCCAGGCATCCTAATCCTTCCCTTCAACCATCCTGGGCCCCTTTAAACTGACTCAACTAACTGCGCTGTCAGCTTCATCTTCATGGCAGCCAAGATGACTTAATGGACTCTTGATTAGGCCGATCTGAGACAGCTAAGAAGAGCTTAGGAGACTTAAAAATATGAGGGTAGTGTTTCTCAACTAGATTAATGTGGTGCTTGGAATCTGTTGCTCATCTCCTTCTCAGTTCTAGGTCACTCCCAGCACTTACAAGTTCTTATTTTTAGGGTTGAAGTTAACTGAAAGCATCCATAAGAATAAGCATCTAAAGATTTTTTTTCACCAAAAAATGAACCTGTGATTAGACGGTGAAATTTCTTTACACGGGTTACTGTGAAGATTACTTTTTTTCTCATTATCATTTATGTATGGAAACGTGAACTCATTGAAGGTTGGGAATTCATGTTTCATTTGTCATCTAAAAATATATTCTTCATTCTCACCTTAATATTGATGGTTGTTTTACCAGTTTTCCAAAACTGTGAGGATTGATTACCCACCTATCAGTGAAATATAATTATTTAACGGTTTATCTCTGTACTTTTAGGTTCTATTTTTAAAATTCGATTAATTTTAATTCTAACTTTGCTTTTATTTTCAAAATTTCATGCTTAAATTTTACCTCATAAACAACTTTCATGGCAAATCAGTATAGAACCTGACATCTGAACTACTTCTTGAGGTAGATTTAACAACTATAACTTGAGGTAGTTTGAACATTTGGGAAGAAAGACACAATCATATTCTTGTTTTGTATTGCTGGTTCACAAATTTATCTTTGATTGAGAAACTACTTTTTAGTTATGCTTTACCTGACAATATTTTTCACTCTGGGATAAAATTAACACATTCTTTGATTATATTTTAATGGGACATATAAAGTGTAGACACCTATTGCAGAGCAGAATAGTGTTTCCACTTAAAAATACAGCACTAAAGACAATCTTGCTCTTTTGCTAAGCACAGACATACTTTGTTTTATTAACTTCCTGATAGGGACTAGCTCTTTGGTTATCTGAAATTTGAAACTGTATACTTTATATAATTTATATAATCAGACATACAATTATATAAAGTAGAAGAATTCTTTAAAATTTATATAAATACCTACTAACCTGGATACCACAAGTTTCAATGTGCCAAGTATTTTTTTGATTACTTTTTATATCCCACTTCTTTCCTCTAAGGATTTGAAAACATAAAGGATATTATGGAAAGAATTTTAAAGAAGGTTTTACCTAAGATCTATGAATAAAGCATGACTGAAAAGTAACTTACAATCAAATTTACAATATTAAAATACAGCACACAAAAACATATGCTGGGTGTGGTTGTATAAGCGAATTTTCAGGGGTTTTAGTTCACAGAAACCTTATGAAATCTGGAGTTATTTTTGTAAGACCTGAATTAAGTTATTTTTTTTTTTTTGGAGACTGCATATAGGGAGTCCTTCATGTGATTAAATTCTGCTCTGGAGCAAAGTTAGACAAATGATGGTCTCTTAATTATTAAATAGTGGTTTAATATTGTTTTATTCCATGGGTGAAGTCAAAGTCACTCTTTAAATAACTTTGGCCATTTTCTGCCAACAAGCTCCCTTTTGGGAATTTTAATCTCCTGATTTTCAGAATATACTTATTCTTACTTTGGTTGTACGGAACATTTTGTCCTTTTCCTTTCCCAAGAAAAAGTTGAACTGAAATAATTCACTAAATTCCAATTCGTATTTCCAAGAGTGACATTGCACCTCTGGCCTAGAGTCCAACATATTCTTGCATAAGACACGTTTTGTGGGCTTAAGCCTGTTTGAGGACTAGTCACCTGTTTGTTAGTTTCTCTCTGCCTCCTTGGTGTTTCTGCTAGTGACATTTATTTTTCTCTGTATAAGTTGTTTTTATTATGC